AACTATGAGATCTGTCATTTGATCAGCACATTACATTTTTAGTGTAGCTATGCTGATTGTTTTCCCATGGTGAAACAGTCACAGATTGGATACCAGCGCAGGCACCCTGGTGCTGGAAAAAGGGCTTCTGTCTCTTTATACTTCTCACAGATCACTTGTTTCATCTCTCTCAATCCAATCCTGTCTGTAGAATGTATGTTATCCTCTCCTCCCCCTCTTCCGCTTCCAGGCTCCATCACTTCCTTTCAATTAGCAGTCCTGATGAGCACCATTCACCTCCACCCATCCTCCCCTGTCTTTCCTCTCCACCCTCTACCATTCTGTGTTGCTCTGTCACTTCTTCTCAATTTGTGGTCTCGACAGGCAGCTTTATCCCCCCCCCTCTGTGTCTCCTTATACAATTTACTCTGGGCTGTTTACTGAAACACTATCATGAGCAGACACTGGGATAACGGTTGGCTGTCCACGTGAATGGGAAGATTGAGAGATCGGATTAGCAGGAATGTGCAAATCGTGCAACATTAGAATTTTTCAGTAGTTCCAGCTCACTTCAAAGAGTTTGTCTGCATAAGTACACTTGTGTTGTCTAGGACTTATACAATTTTGTGAAATTATTCAATTGAATTGAATTTTAAATAAAATTGACACAGCAAATTTGGATAGATATAATCACAAACATCACAAACTTAACTGTTAAAATAATCAAGGACTGGTTGCAAACAACTAGCACTGATAAAACCCAACTGTGCCGTCACCTCGCGTTGGCTCACGTTTGGTCTCATCTGGACCAAAAAGCTGCCCTTGAACACACCAAACAGAGGGCAGCTGGCTGAAATAGTGAACATTCTGCGCCTGCATGGGAGAAACACACTGTTGGGGGACAATAGTCTGTTTTCTCTTTCACAATGGGAACAGAAACTTCTGACACACATGTGCAAATCGTAAACAAAGCAGCATTTTTCGATTATCACAGTGATTGTCACTCACGACAGAGAGATTCGCTTCTACAAATATGATTAATAATTCATGTCGTTTGCTAAAATTTGACAGATATAGTGAAATTACGGCTGGCCTCTTTGTGTTCCTTCTTGACTTAATTTGTTTACTTGCTACGTCACTTCACTATATCACACTCCCGCTCTGATTTGTTGTTTAATAACCAGCCGACGGCCCAAGGCCGATTCTACATGCTGAATCGGGCCACTGCAATCCAATGTTAACCCAACGAGAGGCGACGTATGGAATACACCAAACCAACTAGCTGATGCTGACCCACAAAGCCCAACAGCCATGTGTCCCATCCCTAAGATGGACTACGGAACCAAACAGCACAATAAATGTCCACCAAGAAAGAGCACATTTCTATTTTTATGATATTAAAATAATTGAAAGAAAACAAATGTATTGTTATTGAATGAATACTTCAATTCTTAAGCAAATTTTGCTTTGATTTAAGTTTGAAGTCATCTTGTGACAAGATTCATTTAAAAAAATAACATTTTCTCACCATGTCGGGGAAACTCATTTGCTTATTTTTCCTCAAGCTGTAATGCACTTTTAGGAGAAGTATTAATAAGATTACATATTAAAAAAGCCGACATGGGGAAATCACTTCGGTCATAGGTTGTGAATTTCAGATTCGATTAATTGTCCAGCCCTACGTATTACCTGCCTATTATTAAGATATGAACTGATTAGCACTTATAAAACATGATCGTACATTCCTAATCCTACTCATTATCTAATCCCTACCTTCCTAACTATTCATATTTAGCTAATTAGTCGTTTACTGAGCTAAAAGTCTTAGTTGTTGGTTTGTTAGTAGGGGGAATTGTACATTAAATTATAATGTGACCAAATAAACTTTCATTATATGAATTTATTATTCCACTCATCCAATGGACTGAACATTTATTAGAAACCACTTTCATGAATTCACATTTTTGTAGTTTACACAAACAGGAATGGTAATGTTTTTAAAATCTTTATTTTAAGGTGTCTTTGCTACGGTGTAACTATTGATTTAACAACTTTGTAATATGTACATGTGCTTACTAAATGGTTAGGGTTATAAAGTTTAGGGTTAGTTACATGTCCCTGCTAAAAAATCCAGCTTAAACCAGCCAACCAGCCTAGGCTGGGTTTAAGCTAGATTTTTCAGCAGGGGTATTTATACATAATTCATTGTAAATACTATAGTAAGTGCAAGAACATGTTTGTAACCTGTTTAACAAATTTTTAACCTGTTTTTTTTCTTTATAATTCAGGCCAAAAGAGTATTGTAATGTAAATAAATAGGCAAAATTGATAAAATGTTTTTAGTTTTTTGTTTTGTTTGTGCTGAAAATGGTGTTGTGTAAATATACCCTTAATGTCATGATCTAAAATGGTGAAACACATACATTCTATAGCAAAACCCTACGAAAGTTACAGATATCATTTTAAGATCCTGGTATAATCTTCAGTAAGCCTTTACCGTTTTTTGCTGATTTGTAGAAAAGCACAGGTTTTTCCCATGAATATTTTGCAGTGAGCTGCGGCAGCATCTAGTTCAGACAATAACAGTTCTGCGTGTGCTGAGCTGGTGTCAGTCACTTTCAGGCAGGTGGCGTCTCTGTGAATGCAACAGTGTGTTAGCAGCATTATTGTCAGCACTAGGCAGTAAAAACCTGCCTCATCTAGTCGGCTGGCACAGCACCTTCCCTTGTCCTGGCCGGATTAACAGCTAAATGTGCTGTGCAATGCCCAGCGGTGCCCACTCACCTGCCCTGAGAGGCCTCTGCTTAGCGCCGAGCAACCAGCCACTATCGGGCGCAGACAGACGTCACTGTGAAACGGGATTACGCTGCCAAGTGTCACGCATGAAAACACAAAGACACCAGAGAAACAGACTGATTTGCATAAAGCAAGCTTGCATCAGATTTTGCATAACCCATAGACGAATCGTCTTTTTCAAAAGGAGCCATATTTTTTCATTTTTAAATCAATTGGCTAAATGAAAACGTGGGTGCTTATTAAGGCTGACAGATAATAATAGTGATAATAAAGTAGGAGCTCGCAATTATCACCTTGCTTTTGGTGTCTGAGGAAAACCGAGTCTCCTTATGAATGATTATAGGGGTATTACTCTTTTGTCTGAGCTGCATTATGGGTATAGCTCATGCAGAATTTCTCTCATTGTTTAATCATGTCATTCTACTTTTTTATAATTATCATTTGGGGGGTTTTAACCTTAAATTGATAGGACAGTGGAGTGTATTGAAAGGATATTGTGGGGAGCAGAGCGAGGGGAAGGATCGAACTTTAGAATGGAACTTGGGTTGCCGGGAGCACCTCGGTGCTATATGTTGATGCACATCAAGCTAATAATATATATAATAATTTATACAACAGTTCTGTCTGTTTCTCAAATCTGATTGGCTGATAGCCGTGTGATATTCTGCAATATCAGAACTCCTACAGCCTCTTTACCCTTTGTGTATTACTCCGCCCACATACAGCCAGCAAAAAGCAGACACTACAAATCTAAAGTTTAAAAGATGCACGCTCAACTGTTTAACTGTCAGCTTATGATTTGAATCCAATGTGGAAGAAAGTAGTTCCACATACAAAAGGGTTTTTGAGACTCTCCATGTTTGGTTTTGTTTTTATATACACAATTATGCCGTCAAACTGTTGTATAAACGCATTATTACACGAGTAGCAGTGCGATATGACTGTATATCAGCACTGGTGGGGGCACTAACATCGCACGCCTCCCACCAGTGCCGATATACAGCCATATCCCTCTGCTACTCGTGTGATATTGCTCATTTAGCGAATACATGTTCATTTAAATTTCTATGATGTGTTAAGGCACTAAAACAATGACTTACAATGAGAACAATAAGAGTAGAGTAACTGGTTTTTGCAAGCATGTCAGTTTGCGTAATAATATGGAATCAAGGGCCGGGTTTCAGAAGGTTAACTGTTTCTCAAAAATGTAATGTGGGTATCATTTCACTAAGTGCTATAATACAACCAGTCAGAGCACTCTAGTTGTGAATTAAGCCATTAAATTTTTGTGTTTGTGGCAGTTGTCAGTCCAGACAGCTGAAATAAATTGAAGGTGATAATCTTTGGACCCTTTCCTTAATGACTTTACTATGTTGTGACTTTTTACTATTTCCTGCTGAAAAATTCAGCTTAAACCAGCCTAGGCTGGTTGGCTGGTTTTAGCTGGACAACCAGACTGGTTTTA